TTTATTTTTATTTTTATTTTTATTTTTATTTTTTATTTTTATTTTTATTATTTTTATTTATTTATTTATTTATTTATTTATTTATTTATTTATTATTCCACTTTGTGTAATTTTATGTTCAAACTTCTTATAGGGAGATCCAGGCAAAGATGGCGCTGCTGGCCCACCAGGCCCTCCTGGGCAACCGGGTACAAGAGGGCCCCCAGGAGACACAGGAAAAGATGGCCCAAGGGGTCCCCAAGGCTTCCCTGTAAGGTTCCCTGTAAGGCAGAGTGAATAGCCAACATAGCTTTTAAACTCAGGTGCATGTTTCAGAAGGATAACTGCTTGCATGTGAAGTAGTAGTAGAAGGTCCTCCAGCTTGACCTTTATTGTAGGAAAGAGCTGGTGAAAGGAGATGGGCATTTTTATGAATTGACAATCAGAGTGAAAGAAGCTTACTTATCAGTTCCCAGATCTAGTGATGGAACTGTCCGTTAAGACTGGCGATACTAGCCATGTTTGCTAGCCTGTCCTTACATTTTTCAACAAACTAATTCTGGTACAACTGTTGTCAGATGGATGGATGGATGGATGGATGGATGGATGGATCGATTAGATTAGATTAGATTAGATTAGATTAAAAGTTCATCACATTAATTATGCTCTTTTTCCTAACATCGACAGTCACTAAAGGCGATTTTAAACTTGTTTGAAGAGTCTGTCCTGAATGGCAGGTGACAGAAAAATTACTGTCATAATGTTTTTTATTAGTTAGTTATTCTTTTTCAGTCTTTTGAAACAAGTTACAAATTCCACATGGCTGAATTGGACTGATGGCAGGCTTCACAGTAATTATTTATAGAGCAAAAATAGTTGAAGAGTTGCATTGTTGTGGTATTCAATATAAGTCAAATTATCCAAGATAATATTTCTACATGCATCAAGAGCAGGGTAATGAATAATACTACTCAAAGTAATTAGGACATCACATGCGCATGTGCCTCCAGGTCAATGACATAACAACTTCTTGTTACCAAAAAAAAAGATATTATATAGTTTGAAAAACTATCTCCTTAAGTTTCTTTCCTTCACTGATGCATTTTAAAGTTGGCTTTTAGAAAAGGGATTTCTAAAAGAGATTTAATTTTGAAATGTGTTCCTTTCTAGGGTGAGAAAGGAGAACGTGGAGAAGCTGGTATTATGGTTAGTATCGGATCCACGATGTTAAAATCAGCAATAATGAATTGATTTTCATATCTCAAGCAATGGATTCTTGCCTAAGTGTAGCTCAGGGGTGCATGCTTTTTCTTTTATGCTTGCTGGTGGTAACCTCAGGCCACTCTTCTAACTCTGGCTTTGCTTCCTAATCACTAACACAAAACACATTATCAGTATCTGTGCTAAGCTGAGGTTAGAACAACAGCTGTCAGCCTTGAATTGTCAAGAAATTGAAATGGCCGACCCAGCTTTCTGCCCTGTACCACACCACAAGACCTCAGAAGAGAGAGGGTGAATCTTCTTCAAGCACTGCTGTGTTCTTCCCCTCTGTCTTTCTCGTACTTCCCCACCTCACATTTTGGATGTTTGTGTTGTATTCTGTTGCTAGGACCTGCTAATGCTTTTTCTTTATTTCATGGTAGTGCTTCATAGATAGATAGATAGAAAGATAGATAGATAGATAGAGAGAGAGAGAGAGAGAGACAGACAGACAGACAGACAGACAGACAGACAGACAGACAGACAGACAGACAGACAGACTTTCTTTATTTTATGGTAGTGAAATTTCATTGTGTTTATTCCAACGTACCCTCTAATTTTCAGCCTTGCTGAGCAGGGCTCTGTCTCTTTTGCGTGTGACTTCTCCCCTGCATGCGTGCATGACTCCAACCCGGCATGCTGGATTCCAACGCAACGGGAATCAAAGGGGCTGTGCAGAGGAGGAAAGCTACATGGAGGGGGTGGAGTCATGCACACAGTTGCATGTCTTAGAGGCAACCTTGATATATGCAGTCTCCCTCAAACTTAGTATCTCATCCACTCAGTTGTGTGTACCGTATTTTCCTGTTAATAAGACGACCCAATGTATAAGACACGGAGCTTAGCAAAAGGAAGGGAAAAGCAGGGATCAAAGGGCTCCCTTTGACCGCCGCTTTTCCCTGCCTTTTGCGAAGTGCTGCTTCTCCCTTTTTTCCCTCTCTCTAAGCCCCATGGCTTAGCAAAAGGCAGGGAAAAGAAGTGGTCAAAGGGCTCCAGCAGCAGAGGCAGCAGCAGCAGGAGGTGGAGACTGAGGCGAAGAAGCAGCCCAGCTCGGCCACCTCTGGCTGCTGCCCATTGACTGTTGCCACCCGATTGACTTCTCCAGTGATCGTCTCCTTGCGATCGGGTGACGGTGGCAGCAGTCAATGGGCAGGCTACAGATTGTCCCATCCCTCCCCCCTCAAGCTGGGTACTTATTTTACCAACCTCGGAAGGAGAGAAGGCTGAGTCAACCTTGACCCGGCTACCTAGGATTGAATCCTGGGTCATGAACACAACTTTTGGCTGCAGTTTAACCACTGTGTTATGAGGCTCCTCAAAGATGTCTTAAATACGTCTGTCCCCTCTTTTCCCCACTTAGTTCACTTATTAAATTCATTCATGATTCTTCATGTAATGAAAAAGTTGTTATATTTATTTGGCTTAATTTGGTATGTAGGGTTACTTTCCAGGCAAAAGCAATTTGGTTGAGGATACTTCCTCACTGTTCTTCAGTTATATACTGCAGTGTATATTTATTTTGTCCACTTTTCCATGTAAGATATTCTATTCTTAATTCTAAGATATTCTAGAGATTTCTGTCTCTTATTGACTATTTGGTTTATTTACCTAGGCAATGCATCCATTATCAAGTGTGATTGTACTAATTTATTGCTTGGTTTTTCTGCTCTCTGATTGCTTAGTTTTATACCTGCCTTTGGCAATCAGCTGCAGGTCCTCACTGAGTGTGTGATCAGATAATTTGTATCTTTTCACTGCTTGTGACATGACCCAGTGTGAGCTATTTTCATACATAAAGTTACAAACCAGTCCAACCCTAGTCCATGCCCAAACAGAACATTTTTGGTCCAACAGTAAAATTACTATTTTTGGGGACCAGACTAGAGCAGTTCATCAATGGACAGAAGACTTGATTTAAGAGAGATTGCTTCCAGAAAAGCAGCCCTTTCTGGTGTGATGCAATCTTTTCTCATTGTCTGATCACATCCTGATTTTTAATATTTGCTTTGAGATGCTCTGTATAGATTACCGTATTTGCCGGCATATAAGACCACTTTTTTGGCCCAAAAACATGCCTCCAAGTGGGGGGGTCATCTTATACACTGGGTGCACTTCAGTTGGGCCAGGAAGGAGCCGCCGCGCCGCCATTGACTGAGTGATGTGGGGCCATGCCGGCCGGGGAGGAAGGCAGGCGGGCAGGCAGGTGGTCGGTCCGGAGGGAGGGAAGCAGAGCTGGCCATGCCTGAGCGGCCAGAGCCTGCCACCAGGCTGCCCACCACCCCACGCCACTGAGCCAGCTGCCCGCTCACCCACCCGCCGCCCGAAAGCTGCTTCCCCTCCTCTTCCTCTTCCTTCTCCTCCGCTGCCCACCCGGCCGCTTCCCCTCCTCCTCGCCCTCCTCCTCGCCGGCCATAAACTTGCAGTGTGGGCCCGGGCAGAGCCCCAGGCAGCCGCCGCCACCATGAGCCTGCCACCAGGCTGCCCACCACCCCACGCCACTGAGCCAGCTGCCCGCTCACCCACCCGCCGCCCGAAAGCTGCTTCCCCTCCTCTTCCTCTTCCTTCTCCTCCGCTGCCCACCCGGCCGCTTCCCCTCCTCCTCGCCCTCCTCCTCGCCGGCCATAAACTTGCAGTGTGGGCCCGGGCAGAGCCCCAGGCAGCCGCCGCCACCATCGCAGCAGAGCCATCCACTCTATATTTTGAGTGGAAATGTTGGGGGGGGGGGTCGTCTTATATGCCCAGTCATCTTGTACGCTGGCAAATACGGTAGGCATCCTTCAGTCTCAAAAGACTATGGTAACACGCTCTGTACCGAGGCCTTGGAACAGCGTCTAGTGTGGCTGAGAAGGCCAAGAGTGACAATCCCTTCAACACTGAAGACAAACACAATCTGTCCCCTGTCCAGCTCCCGGATTTTGCTGGCTTTGGGACTGCCTCTTTGTCTTGGCCTGCTGGACAAGTGTCTCTTCAAAATGAGAGAGTCCATGATGCATCGCTTGCCTCCCGGCTGAACGCTCAGATTCCCATCTGTTGAGGTCCATTCCTAAGGCCTTCAGATCCCACTTTTGCAGATATCCTTGTATCACAGCCCTCTGGGGCTCTTTCCCTGCACTAATTCTCCATATAGGAGATCTTTTGGAATCCAGCCGTCAGCGATTCTCACGACATGCCCAAGCCAACATAGATGTAGACGTCGCTGTTTCAGTAATGTATACAGTGGGGCCTCGCAAGATGAAAATAATTCGTTCCGCGAGTCATGTCATCTTGCAAAGGTTTTGTCTTGCAAGGCACAGTTTCCCATAGGAATGCATTGAAATTTAATTAATGCCTTCCTATGGGCCAAAAAAGTCTGAAAAAGTCACTTACGAGGCAGGGAGCTGGGGAAGCACCATCAGAGGACTGGCGGGGGTCCCCCCACGTGGCTATTGCAGTTGCGGGGGGGCACCAGTCTTCCAATGATGCTGGGGAAGTCTTTGGAGGCCTCTGAAAGCAGCAAATGCCACGGAGGGGACCCCTGCCAGTCCTCCAATGGTGCTGGGCAAGTCTCCAAAGGCTTCCCCAGCACCATCGGAGAACTGGTGGGGGGCCCCAGCAACTGCGATCGCTGCTTTCAGAGGCCCCCTGCCAGTCCTCCGATGGTGCTGGGCAAGCCTTCGAACAGAAAAAGGCAGGGGGACAGGGCGGGAAATTCAAAAATGGTGCTGGGCAATCCCCGGGAGGCATCTGAAAGTGGCAATAGCCGCATGGGGAACCCACGCGAGTCCTCCAATGGTGCAGGGGAAGCCCTGGGGGACCTCCGAAGGCGCAGATTGCGGCGAGACACACACACCCCCGCCAGTCCTCTGATGGTGCATATGGAACGTGTTCTGCTTCCTCTCCTGCCGTGCACAAAGGGTCCAGGACTCACTGCAGTACAGGAGTGAATCTGTATAATAGGATGAAGAATTCAGCACATGCAGGGGCTTTTTGTTCATATTACATTCTAAAATACATTGATAATTATAAATTTGCTGACTGCATCAAAATGCTGACTCTCTAATAGAGAGCCTGTCTGGTCCTTTCTGTGCAGAAAGCTTTGGGAAATGTTTTCTTCAACTCATAAATAGAACTGATCATAAGGGGGAACTTGTATGAGGCAGTTAAGAAAGTATTCTGATTTTCTGAAGATAAACAGAACTCTCTGCAATGCAAATGTTTCTATAAATAAGGGGCACATTTCTCTCTGTAGATGCAGCAGCTTTCTGCATTCTTGTAGGAGAAAAGCAACAGGTTAACATATTTACAGTTTTATCTTTATACTGTTAAATCAGTAATAATATCATTTGCTCTGCTGTCTTTTCTTGGTAGCACTCATTTGGATGGGATGCCAGTCAATAACTTCAGAGTGCAGAAAGACAGCTGGCAATTCACCTTAGCATGCAGATTTCTGACCTGGCATGCCCCTGAGAGACTCCGGACTTCTTACAGTATTTTAACACTATTTCAATATGCATCTAGCAAATGACCACTTAATCTCAACGAGTTGGATATCAAAAAACCAGTGGCCTCCAGTTGTGCCAGGAATATGGGCAATGGACGGGAAACAACTGCAGTTGTGCAAGCCCTTTCTTTTTCCAGGCTCCAGCTATATGGTTGCATCAGCCAGCAGCCAGGTGGTACAGCACCTGAATCTTTGTCCTATAATTAAATCAAAGTGCAATAAAGCTGTGGTGCCATTTTAAATTTTTCGGTAAAGTTTTTGCTTTCCCACAACACCCCTGTTTCGTACTACAGATAGTTAATCACCATTATTGTAAATTCCATTGGTCTAACAATAGTTAATCTTCATAATTCTAAACCATTTGGAATTGGTAGAAATTAAAGCACCCGGCCCATAAAAGCAGCAACATATTTGTTCTAAAATTATTCCTTAATCTTTTTATCATAGAGAACTCTCATACTAATTAAAGTGGAAATGCTTTAAAATAAGTGGTTGAGTACCATTAGTAAGATGTACCTAATCACTGCGGATCCTCTAAATGCAGATTGCACCAGTTGTCAGAGAAAGACCATTTTGTTAGAGAAGACTATTTTGGTTTGCATTTGGACAGATACATTGTAGATCAGCTAGGAATAATTTGTTCCTTTCTGACAAAAGACAAAACAAACTAAAAACAAGTGACAGAAGCATTGTGACACCTTAAAGACTAACTGCTGTATTTTAATCTGAGCTTTCATGGATCAAGTCTACTTCCTCAGACAGGAAGAAGTGGACTCGATCCACAAAAGCTCACGTCAAAATCTAAAAACAGTTTTTAAGGTGCCGCAATGCATTTGGCTTTTGTTTTTTGTTTGTTTTGTTTTTTTGACTGATATGCTTGCACAGACTTACATGGCTACTCCTTTAAAAACTACAACTTTTCCCTTTGTGTTATATGAAAGTAAAAATGTTTAATTCTGCCTATTGACAAAATTCGCTTTATTTATTTATTTATTTATTCATTCATTCGTTCGTTCGTTCGTTCGTTCATTTGCTTACTTGCTTACTTACTTACTGTACTTATTTTGAAGGGTGGACCTGGTAATCCAGGGGAAAAGGTAAGTTACTGATTTTTTATATATCAAAAGCTGCCATAATGTCACTGTCACGTTCTCAATTCTCCAAGCAAGTCCTGCCATTAGGCATGTGGAGGCAGCAGCCTCAAGTCACATGATGAATGTCATGTGCCCCTCATGTGATTTAGGACAGGTTTCCCCCCCCCCCCGCTGTGAGCTATTCCTGATTTTCTGAGCTGGTGCTCTTGCTGAAGTGACCTTGTCTGACATATGATCCAGGGTTCCCTCATCTAATGCACCATTGTCAGTGCTGCTAGGAGTGGCCCATGACAAAATGAGCAAGCAGAGAGGCCACAGATGCAGCCATTGAGATGTGCATGATTTGCTGTCCTCCTGTGGTGCACACTGGAGCTATCTAAATATGTAGCAAGCCAATTCCAGACAGAGTGGCAAACAAACAGGAATAATTTGTTAGAAAACTGCACCCAGTGAACTAGTCTAATGTCCTGTGGTGTAGCTGAGGATAATGTTATGTCTCCAGTGCTGAGGTAAGTCTCAGCTACCACTGTGGTCAACTTCTGTATACAGAATGGGTTGGCCATCACCTTATATTTCACTTGTATCAGCCTTGCCTTCAGAGGATGGTCTGGAACAGGGGTCTCAAACATGTGGCCCGGGGGCCATTTGTGGCCTGCCAGATGATAGTTTGCAGCCCCCGCCTTGCCTGCCCTCTTGCCTGCCCCCCCAAAGGACCCACATGTCCTCTGCTGTCAAGAGTAAAAAAAAGCGTTGCCTTGCTCGCCCGCTCTCTCCCAAGACAGCACCTCTTGCCCCCTCCATCTGGAACTGAAGCCTGCCAGCCAGCCCACCTGTCTGCCAGCTAAGGAAACTCCTGGGCAGCTTCCTCGGGCTCTTGCTCCACTTGGCAGAAAATCTGATGCAGCCCAGCCTCACCCAGGCTCTGCCTCCAGTGGCCCCCAGGTAAATTGAGTTTGAGACCCCTGGTCTAGAAGAGTATGAAAAAACTCTCTCCTTCCTTTCCTTGCATCTTCATTTTAACAGAATATCTCCTGGTTTGATCCCATTTTTTTGTCATTGCAACTGAAATTGTAAATTGTGGTTTGAGTGAACCCTACAAATCAGGATTATCCACCATAGTTTGGAGAACTGGCAGCTATTTTTTATTTATAGATCCTGGGGAAGTCAAAATGTAATTATTAGCATTTTAATTTCTAAATAAGAACAATAGTGATATATTTTGGAGGAAAGACCTTGGGTGTAACATAAGCAGGCAGTAGTATAAGCACCCATTTCCCCATGATGTGATCCCAAATTACTACCGAGTCACGTGAATTTGGCAGTGTAAGTAGGGTGATGAAATGGGTTTTATCTGTGCATGACTAGGCCAAGATGAAACACAGTAACCTCATGTGATCATGTCCTAAGACTTACAAATTGGCTCTATAAGGAGCAATATTTCATGCATTATTTTTCAAGGTAGTGAAGGAATGTTTGTAACCAAAGCATTTTATGATTAATATGTCCTGTTCAGCATATAGCCAGAAGGATTAGGAAACAGGTGTAAGAATTAAATGTCAGTGCATTCCGTGGACAGTGATCAATGTATTCTTGACTTACATACATTTAAAATAAGGCATCTCTAAGTTAATAACTGATTTTTTTTCTCACTTCCAATGAACAGTTAAAAAACTCAACAGTCATTTTTGAGGTTAGGCCTATAAGCACTGACTTTGTAGACATAGTGCGCTTCTGTGTTTTAGTGTTAACCCGGTGTGTTCTGTTTCATCAGGGAGAAGCTGGAATTCCAGGAGAACCAGGGATCCAAGGGCCAAAGGTAAACTCTACTTCTCCGACATGTATGTTCTGGAATCTGTTTTCACTTGTGTGTATATGTGTGCATAGAGAGGTAGATAGAAAGATGGATAGGTGGTAGCAGTGAAGAATCAGTGCAGGGATTTTTTTTCCTGAAAGAAAAAAAAAAGATGATCTATAGGGAGCTATAGTACATCGCTAATCACATTAAATTCTGGCCCCCAAAATATTTGGTAACTAAGGCCAGGATACTTTGGAGTAGATCTGCCTATGCAATAGGAATAACATCAGATTGCTCCTAATTAAGAGTCTCTCCTTTGATTTTCGAATGCATATTATCTGAGTGCAATGAAGCTGTTCACACCATGAAACTGAGGCTGTGACTGCACAGTAAGGGAAATGTGAATTACCTTGCCTCTGCATCGCACTGGAGCAATTGGTTCATTCCAATATATGTGGCCACAGAGGCCAGAGGAGGATAAAAGCCTTGTACTTGTAGTTCCAATTGAAGCACCTTCAAAAGAACTGCCTTAAGAAGGCCTTCCTTCCTCCCAATGGCCTCCTTATCTTGCTGGGGAGAGTTCCTGAAGTTGCTAAAAAAATAAATGAATAAATAAACAGGATTGGGAGGGGAGCTGATTTTAAAAAAGAAGTGGCAGCTTAGAGGAGCAGAGGCTTTGCTGAGAGGTGAGTACTAGCACCGTGTACTGTGAGTACTATGAGTACTATGCACACACTCTCCCCTTCCAGTTTTCAAGCCAAAAGAGCTGGATTGATTTGATTTGGCCTTGGCATCATGTGGGCAGGAAAATTACTTTGATTTAACTTGTTTTATGAATGGAGCAAATCCCAAGAAAGGGGCTCTAATTTCCTCTGCCACAGCTAGTGAGGTTATTCCCCATTGCACATAGCCACACAGTCAGGTATTGGTGACCAATATTTTGCAGCAGAAGGTCACCCACAGTCATAGGAAGGAAACTTAACATTCTTTGTCATGAATCAGGAACTTACTTTTGTTCTGCTTTTCACCTGTCTTATCAGGCATTTGAAAGAGTGACAAATAGCTGATGGAATATGAGAACATTGATAGGAGCTCAAATTGTACTCTAAAGACACACAGATTTTTAATTTTAGAATGAAAGCAACATTTTAACCAAATGTTAATTTTTTAAAAGTTGTGTCTGTAAGGGAAGTATTAGTACTGTGTTAATATTAAATTCGCATTCATTTCAGGGAGAACAAGGAAGTATTGGCCCCCCAGGAGAGAAAGGCTTAGATGGGCTACCTGGGCCAAAGGTATGTATCATGCTGAATATGAGAGTAAGGCTGCTAAACCTCTACTAAAGAACTGAGTCTTGCCTTGCACTATTCAAACACTGCAGGGAAGCCAAGGAAGCATTGGCCCTGTGGGTGAAAGAGGAATACAAGGGCTGCCAGGGCCAAAGGTAAGAAGCGCATGGGAAAGGAAAAGAGTAGATTAGCCCATGCCCTGCTTAGACTTTGGGAGTTTCTGTTGCATCTTTTTTGACCATTCCAGGGAGAACCAGGAAGCACTGGCCCAATGGGAGAAAGAGGCATAGATGGGCTACCAGGGCCAAAAGTAAGTACTGCCTAGGAAAAAAGAGTAAAACACAGTACTTGTGATTTGAGATCTTATGCTGAGACACTGTTTCAAGTCATTTCCTCACTGAAATATGCACTATATACTTCCAAAGAAAAATATTCCCAGTGTCGACATCTACATTTGGAATCCCTAAGGAGATATGCCAGCTACCTATTTTCAGATTCTAGATTCAGACACTGCTGTTTATGAATGCATCTAAAATTGTTTTTATGGCTTATTGTCCTTGAGTTTGGTTTGGTTTGGGTTATTTTTATAATATACTTTTAAATTTTATGTTTATTTTATTATGAGTTGGGTATATTGCACACTAGACTGAAATCAAACTTGATGAAGAGTGATTTCAAAAATTGCTAATACTATAGTAGAACATCAAAATGGTGGTGGTAGTGGGGACATTACCATATGCAGTACTTAGAAACATGTAGTTTTCCATGGCATCTCTTGTAAACAGTATAGGAAGAACCAGAAAGCATTCACCCAATGAGAGTAAAAGACTCAGATGGCTTGTCAGGGCCAAAGTTAAGAAGCACATTGGAAAAGATCATAAAAAACTCATGTTCTGCATAGGAACTGATAATTTAAAACTTTTCAAACATTATAGGGAGAACCAGGAAGCACTGGCCCAATGGGGGAGAGAGGCATGGAAGGGCTACCAGGGCCAAAGGTAAGCAGCGCATGGGAATGCACAATAAGGTTAGCATATGCGCTGTTTGGAAACTAACAGTTTTCCATTGCACATTTTTTAAAAACCTGTAGGGAAAACAAGGAAGCATTGGCCCAGTGGGGGAGAGAGGCATAGAAGGGCCATCAGGGCCAAAGGTAAGCAGTCCTTGTGAGAATATTGTAAGACAGAAACCTGGCGGGCCTTTCCTTTGCATCTTTTTTTTCAAATCTTCCAGGGAGAACCAGGAAGCATGGGAGAAAAAGGCACAGAAGGGGCCCCAGGGCCAAAGGTAAGCAGTGCATGGGAACAAAGAGTAAGTTACCCCGTGCCCTGCTTGAATACTGAGCTTTTCACCGCACCTCTTTCAAAACTTTTAGGGAGAACCAGGAAGCACTGGCCCAATGGGAGAAAGAGGCATAGATGGGCTGCCAGGGGTAAAGGTAAGGAGAGCAAGGAAGAGCTAGGACGTTCGTCTATGCCCTTCTAAGAAGGAGCACCCATTGCATGTCTTTCAAACTTTTCAGGGAGAAACAGGAAGCTTTGGGCCAGTAGGGGAGAGAGGCATAGAAGGGCCCCCAGGGCCAAAGGTAAGCAGTAATAGGAAAATTGAATTGCTTAGCCCATGTCTTGCTTAGAAACTGGGAGTTTGTCATTGCAACTCTTTTGGCCATTCTGGGGAAAACTAGGAAACACTGGCCCAAATTGGAGAAAGACTTATAGATGGGCTACCAGGGCCAATGGAGAGCAGAGGTTGGGTAAAAATAATAAGCCCATGCTCTTTTTAAAAACAAAGAGGTTTCTATTATTGTGATTGCATCCCTTTCAAACCTTTCAGGGAGAACCGGGAAGCATGGGAGAAAAAGGGACAGAAGGGCCCCCAGGGCCAAAGGTAAGCAGTGCATGGGAAGTAGTAGAAAATCAGTCCATGCCCTGCTTAAGAATCGAGTTTTCCATTTGTCCTGTTTCAAACCTTCCAGGGAGAACCAGGAAGCATTGGCCCAGTGGGAGGAACAGGCAAAGATGGGCCCCCAGGGCCAAAGGTAAGCAGTGCATGGGAAGTGGTAGAAAATTAGTCCGTGCCGTGCTTAAGAATCAAGCTATCCATTGGTTGTGCTTCAAACTTTTCAGGGAGAACCAGGAAGCATGGGAGAAAAAGGCATGGAAGGTCCCCGAGGACCAAAGGTAAGCAGAGCATGGTAAGAAGTACTGTAATAAATTAGCCCATGCTCTGCTTGGAAGCTGAGCTTTGCATTGCTCTCTTTCAAACCGTTCAGGGAAAATCAGGAAGCATTGGCCCAGTGGGAGAAAGAGGCATGGCTGGCCTGCCAGGACTAAAGGTAAAGAGAACATGGAAAAGGATAGTAAAATGGTCACATACTGGGCTTACAAACAGAGTTTTCCATTGTGCCTCTTTCACATCTTCCAGGGAGAACCAGGAAACATTGGCCCAATGGGAGAAAAAGGGCCAGAAGGGCCCCCAGGGCCAAAGGTAAACAGTGCATGGGAAATCGTAGAAAATCAGTCCATGCCCTGCTTAAGAATAGAGTTTTCCATTGTGCCTCTTTCAAACCTTCCAGGGAGAACCAGGAAACATTGGCCCAATGGGTGAAACAGGCAAAGATGGGCCCCCAGGGCCAAAGGTAAGCAGTGCATGGGAAGTGGTAGAAAATTAGTCCATGCCCTGCTTAAGAATCAAGCTTTCCATTGGTCGTGCTTCAAACTTTTCAGGGAGAACCAGGAAGCATGGGAGAAAAAGGCATGGAAGGTCCCCGAGGACCAAAGGTAAGCAGAGCATGGTAAGAAGTAATAAATTAGCCCATGCTCTGCTTGGAAGCTGAGCTTTGCATTGCTCTCTTTCAAACCGTTCAGGGAAAATCAGGAAGCATTGGCCCAGTGGGAGAAAGAGGCATGGCTGGCCTGCCAGGACTAAAGGTAAAGAGAACATGGAAAAGGATAGTAAAATGGTCACATACTGGGCTTACAAACAGAGTTTTCCATTGTGCCTCTTTCACATCTTCCAGGGAGAACCAGGAAACATTGGCCCAGTGGGAGAAACAGGCAAAGATGGGCCCCCAGGGCCAAAGGTAAGCAGTGCATGTGAAGTGGTATAAAATCAGTCCATGCCCTGCTTATATAAAGAGTCTTCCATTACTTCTGCTTCAAACTTTTCAGGGAGAACCAGGAAGCGCTGGCCCAGTGGGAGGAACAGGCAAAGATGGGCCTCCAGGGCCAAGGGTAAGCAGTGCATGTGAAAGGATCATATATTTGTCCATGCTCTGCTTAGGGATAGAGTATATCATTGCCCTGCCCCTTTCAAACCTTTCAGGGAGAACCAGGAAGCGCTGGCCCAATGGGAGAAAAAGGGACAGAAGGGCCCCCAGGGCCAAAGGTAAGCAGTGCATGTGAAGTGGTATAAAATCAGTCCATGCCCTGCTTATATAAAGAGTTTTCCATTGCTCCTGCTTCAAACCTTTCAGGGAGAAACAGGAAGTGCTGGCCCAGTGGGAGAAACAGGCAAAGATGGGCCCCCAGGGCCAAAGGTAAGCAGTGCATGGGAAGTGGAAAAAATTCATCCACACCCTACCTAAGAATAGAGTTTTCCATTGTTCCTGTTTAAAACCTTCCAGGGAGAAGCAGGAAGCATTGGCCCAGTGGGAGAAACAGGCAAAGATGGGCCCCCAGGGCCAAAGGTAAGCAGTGCATGGGAAAGGGTCATAGATTTGTCCATGCTCTGCTTAGGAATAGAGTATATCATTGCCCTGCCCCTATCAAACCTTTCAGGGAGAACCAGGAAGCGCTGGCCCAATGGGAGAAAAAGGGACAGAAGGGCCCCCGGGGCCAAAGGTAAGCAGTGCATGGGAAATGGTAGAAAATTAATCCGTGCGCTGCTTATGTATAGAGTTTTCCATTGCTCCTGCTTCAAACCTTTCAGGGAGAACCAGGAAGCGCTGGCCCAGTGGGAGAAACAGGCAAAGATGGGCTGCCAGGCCCAAAGGTAAGCAGTCCATGGGCAATATAAAATTAGTCCAATCCCTACTGAAGAATAGAATTTTCCATTGCCCCCTTTCTCAACCTTCCAGGGAGAGCCAGGAAGCATTGGCCCCATGGGAGAAAAAGGGACAGAAGGGCCCCCAGGGCCAAAGGTAAGGAGTGCATGTGAAGTGATATAAAATCAGTCCATGCCCTGCTTTAGAATCGAGCTTTCCATTACTCCTGTTTCAAACCTTTCAGGGAGAACCAGGAAGCAGTGGCCCAGTGGGAGAAACAGGCAAAGATGGGCCCCCAGGGCCAAAGGTAAGCAGTCTATGGGAAGCAGTAGAAAATCAGCCCATGCCCTGCTTAGCAATAGTTTCCCATGGCCCTATTTCCAACCTCTCAGGGAGAACCAGGAAACGCTGGCCCAGTGGGAGAAACAGGCAAAGATGGGCCCCCAGGGCCAAAGGTAAGCATTGCACGGAACAGGACCTTAAGGTTAGCATGCACTTGCTTGGGAATGGTGTGGAGGAGGCTGTTTTACTGCCTGCAGGGCAGTATTAAATCTGTTATATAGGTATAGAACGGCCAGAATGCAAGCATAAGAAACTTAGGCCCCCATGTAACAAATGTTTCAGTGTAGACATGAGAAAAGGGCAAATTTGCCTTGTGCCATTCCCTTCACAGTTAGTGGAATACAGTGGTGCCTCGCTTAGCGAGTGCACCGTATAGCGATGTTTCCGTATAGCCATCCCTTTTTCGGGATCGCTATACGGAAACATACCCGATCTTCGCAATGGGGAAAACCCGCATTGCGAAGATCGGGTATTGTGGTGGCCATTTTGGAGCCACCGAACAGCTGATCGGCGGTTCCAAAATGGCCGCCGGAATCCCGGAAA